CGTTTTCAGAATGTGCTCGGCAGTATTATGGGCAAGGGGAGTTTCCGAGCTTACGTACGAGGGATTGCTGGTTATACGTTGGACGTTAAACCGGCTTGGAAATAGTTTCCGGAACTAATTTACTCGCGAGGGTCAGCGTCGTCGTCGCCGCCGCCGCCGCCGCCGCCGCCGCCGCCGCCGCCGAATATCCTCTTTATTTCACGTTCCGGCTATCGTCCTCGAAATCGCTGCGGTCGCGAAGAGCGAACTTCGAACACGGATATAACACCCGGATCCATTCCCTGACTGCGAACCAATATTATCTTTGATCCAACGTCGTCAACCATAGTAACGCCTGGATATAGTTCGAATACCGAGAATTCCTATGCTATGCCGGGCCGCGCGAGACAGACGTATGATTACTTGCGATCGAATCAACGTACTACGTGCTGTGTTTATCCTAGTTTTGTGATCGCCGATGAAGCACTCTCTCTTTGTGTAATATAAATATATACTCTATCACTTCCTTTCAAGCAAAATTGCTTGGGAATTTTCTCCTTTTATCCTCTATTGTGTTTTACGCGCTCGAGATCATACTTATCATTGTCATTTTTTAAATGTATACCGACTTAATAATCTCTAAATTTGATAAGCATTTTACATTCTAATTCAATTATCGCTTGTTTCAGGTGACGAGTTATCCCTGTGTAACCGCGACTCCGACAAGGAGTGACTACCGAGGTACATGAAAGAAGGACATGAACTACTCGCAAGGTAAGCCAATTTCGTTCGATAATATTACACTTTAAAATATAAACGTAAAAAAATATCATCTCTTGACTCCTCGCGGCGGTGGACGATTTTACTTTACGAGGGAGACACGTCACCGATATCTCCGTGTATCTATCGAATTCACCGAAGGTTTGTCCTCGTCCGATTTCCAGCCCGGCCAAGTGAGCGCGCGCGGGCGGGCGGCGGTCTGAAACAGTTCGGAAATTCACTCAACTAATCAAATACCGCTAAAACCGCTAAACAAGTTAGGTTAGCAATCTACGTGCTCCGAATGGCAACTCCGAACTGCTGCGGCTGCGAAGCGCGAAAACGCTCGCGACTGCTTCCGCAATCCGCACGCCATCTTCGCCCTCTCATCCACCTACATTCCTTAACGAGGGGAAACGACTCGATGCAGACGTGTACGGATCGCCTAATCGACGGTCCAAGTTCCGCGATTGCAGGTTTTGACTTTGTCGCGTCCGTCGTGTCATCGTCTGGTCGGTACAAGAGCGATCGATAGACACGGTAAATTCCAATTTGCAATTAGAATGAATTATAATCGCGATATTTTTAACGCATTAGAAATACGAAAAGTTCTATTGATACTGTATCTTTATGGAAAGCTCATATACCTTTTATAAAATAGTGAAAGCAAAGATTAAGAAATAAGACTAAGATACTTCTAGTTAATGGCACTTTTTTAATTTGATGTTCAATATTATATTTTACCATAATTTTGGATATTTTTTTCGCATTAGTTTCTAGAGCTAAATTAATCAATAGCGATTTGACGAACTTTCTAATAATTAATACGAACGTAAAGTCATCCTAGTTCCATTTATAAAATTTATTAAAATCGCTGCGGGACTTTTTGATTATGAATGCGTACATGTCTCCATACATGCGTATTAGCCGGATCAGATAGCCAATCAAGTATATCTCGAGGGTGCAATGACACGTGCTGTCGTCCCGTCAAGATGTTCTCTCTCCCCTCTCGTGGCATAATTGTCCTCATATTTTCGACATCGGACGTTATCTCGTCTACCTGCCCAATAGAAGGGCCGCACATGGGACATACCCGTAATATCTAAGCACCTTTCTGGTCATTCACATGCAAATGTATGCTGAGTCGGCCATTAGGCTCTCTCCACGGATGAGCGGATTCATCAGCTGATGTACAACGGACATTGATCCCTCGTTGCATCCTTTGTCCTTGCGACGTCTTTTCAGCGTTTTCGTCTCGTTTACTATTTTACGGCGGGATACCTTTCCGTATGAAAAAAGAGCGTACAAATTAGTCGGATCGTTAGCGAAATCCATATTAACGAGACATCCGATTCTCCCTCAGTGGAAACGCACTCCGGATCCCATGTTAATTCCGATCCCCAGTTCTTCAGTAACACACAAAGAGGAGAGGAGTCGCCAGAGCGACAGTGCAGTGTTCTGTATTTCTTTTGTTGCGGCAATACCCTCCACTAAACAAGAGTCCTGAATATTTTAAACATATTTCACAGAACGCACATAAATACCGTCCGAAAGAATATTTCTTTCTCGTCGTCGTCGTGCGCGAGACGAGAGGAGAAAAATATACACGACTGTTGCGAATGAGAAATGAGGATAAATCATTCGCGTGTTTTTTCAACCGCTTGACGATGTTAGGCACAGACAAAGGGAACTGATTAGCCTTCGTAATTGAAACGCACAAAGGAATGATAAATTAAGATAAGGTGATTGAATAGCGTGAAATAAAAATACAATATTTATAACTTTCTTTCAGTGTTTCTTTCCAGTTTTTTTTTTTTACACATTAAAGGGTGACACACGATCGACAATGTGCCTTGGATCGATATAGGTATCGCTGCGACCCCTCGTGCGCGATTGACAACGCGCTCGTAACTTCCTTTCGAGGGACGAAAAGGAAATGTAGAAAAGCTGACGCGCACGGCCGTCGAATACAGGGCAGATAATGAATTTAGCCCGTTTTAAAGAGGTTATTGATGGAATCCATTCCCGGTTCTAAACGCATGGTCGATCGAGCGAGAGACCCAGGACCGTTAGACCACCCCCGTGTGCTTTCTCTTGCCCTTAACGTAATTGCGAATCCCTCTCGCTCGCTCTCTCCCTCTCTGTCCTGGTCAAAGACGATTAAATATTTCCACTCCGCAACATTTTCTCTACCTCGTTCACGCCAAGCCGATATTTATTTAGGCGTTTGCCCGAACCGTTCGCCCGAACGAATATCCGTAGTAAACCAACGTTAGTGTCAAGAGTTATCGCGTAACACGGCCTCGACGAGCAGCGCGTTCGCGCAGCTACCATTTCATCCAATTTGCAGCGCTACAGCGTAGAGTGCACCGAATGGGTTGCGTCGTAACGCGCGCGTCGCGTTTATCGATGTAAATTCACGGAGGAATTGTTCCCGGGCGCGACTCAAAGCGAAATTATCTACTTGTTCATTGCGATAACTCGGAATAAATAACTCGGATACTATTCGTTCGACGCCCCGATGCAGCGGGACGGAATGAAATTAAACTAGAGCTTCTAAGTATACGGATATCCAGATATTCGGATATCCGAGATCGGTTTTAATTCGAATATCAAAACCGAATTATTCTGATTATTCGGGTGACCCGGATATCCAAATTATTTTGATCCGGATCTAAATTCGGATAAAATACATCCGCTATATATTGTATTTTGTTATAATTTTAAAATAACATAAATTTAATTTTTGAAAAATGCATATTAATTTATTATATTTAAAGCTGTACCCTTTTAGCTATAACACATTTTTTCACTCTCATATTTGGTTATCGAATTTAGATCCAAATTCAAATCCAAATCCGCTACAAACTTAAATTCGATTTCAAATCTAAATTTGTTGCGAATTCAGATTTGAATTTGAAATACGAATCCAGATCGGATACTTTTATTATTTGGGTATCTTAGAAGATTCGGGTATCCGGACAACCCGAATTTGAAGCGTCGCATTTATTCGTAATCCGAATAGCGTTAAATCCGAACGAATCTTGAAGCCCTAAATACCATTTCCACCAATGAAGATTAACTTTAATCTCTCGATTTAACTTACTCTTCATCCTTTTCCAATTCTTAGAACTGGAAAAAGATGAAGAGAAAGTTGAACCGAGATTAAAGATAATCTACATTGATGAAAATAGGCGTAAATTAAACATCTTTAACTCGCTGCATGCGCGCAAAATCGCGCGCGATGAAAGGCATAAAGAGATCGCGCGGCTCGTGCTGAAAAGAATATTATTATGCAATATAACTCGCTTCCCCCGTATAGCCGCCTGAAAAATCGACACTAATCCACCTCCGTCTTACGACCTCCGAATTAACTCTCTATGCGGCGTCTCGTGGGAGGAGGCGCAAGTCGGACTGCGAGAAAGAAATGCCGCCAGGAGTCCTCTTCATCCGCCAACCATCCGGCTTATATATTGTAAATACCACGTAATCTGATGACCTCCCGGCGACGGTCCCTTCATTACCAGCGCGGGTGCCATTGTTCCGTAGGTATAATTGAATTCCCAAGGCAGCCGCTGCCGCCAGCTAACCCTCATCCTCTCGACATCAGCGATCCGAGAGAACCGCCGATTCCACGTTGGAACTCTACGAGACCCTGATTTACCCCATTCAGTCGGGAATAATGCGATATCTCGTCCCCCCGAAAGCCACATCGAACCTCGACTCGAGAAAGAGAGAGAGAGAGAGGGGGGTAGAAGAAAGAGGGAGAGGGAGAGAGAACGCGGGGGTCATTTCGGCATCAGAGGAGCGGGTTAGTCTAAGCTCGTACACGATTCCGAATGTCCGTCCGTTTATCGCCCAAAGTCTTCCGCTCGTCTCCGCAAATGTCGCTTCCACTTTGAGTGCAGCATGAGCCAACAATAGATTCTATCGATGCACTCAAGAATAGTCGATAATTCGAAACTGAACGCCGAGCTCTACCACGTTGTATTCCGCGTAATTTCGGCTTCGAACGTGGATTATCAGAGTTGTTCTCTGAACCATATAAATTTAATACGGAACTAGCTCGCAATATACGTAAGGTACGGGCGCTATGCTTGTATAAGCTTGCATAAATAATATAACTTGACTTGTGCATGAATGTGCACGGAATAATCTCAAATTCGCGATATTTTCTTTTTTTCACGCGTAAACTTTAAAATTAATTTATACTTTTATCTGAGAAAAATATACGAAATGTAATTAATTGAAAACAGCCTCCATTTTTTTTCGAACTGAATGAAATGGAAATAAATTATCCGTTATTTAATTTTATATCATCATATAAATTTTTGACTCGGAAAATGCATTAGTATTCACAGTAACGTTCGTTATATTACATTATAAATTTTCATGGATGACAGCTAGTGATCATTAAGTTCTTAATGGTCTTTTAAGTGTTAGAGCGATCGTTTCACCAGTGAATTGCCCGATTTACTTACAGCACTTACTAGAATATATATTCCCACCGTTCCCTTTCTAAGTCTGGCGGCAATAATTTTACTCGAGCACCTCCCGTGTCAGAACTCTCACCGTAATCCGCAATACATACGTTAAATATGCATGGATTACAACGCGCGATAAATATTGACTTTAATATATTAAAATTATGTATGTGACTTTTAATGTATCAGAATTATCACATCAAGCTCAAAGCGCAATTTTCCATTGTGCATAAATCTCCACAAATCTCACGTGCGTAAAAGTAATAAATTGGAAAAAGAGATATCCTTTTCAATATTTTACCGCTTAGTCAAGATATATTAAATCGAAAATTACTTTCCATTTTTGCGGAAAATAATTTTCGCGCGGAGAAAAGTAGGAATTTTTTGAAACGGTTCACTCCGACAAACGACAAAATTAATCGACTTAGCTGATAAAAAAAAATCCGATTAATTAAAGCGCCGTCCTCGATTACGACAAATTCGATATAATTAGTCTCCGCGATATACGTGGATAATCACATACATAAATTGTATGGTCGACTTCATCGTCATTTATCAGAGACCGCTGACTGTCAGTTCGAGATGATAATAAAGCGTGTAACGTGTCTGACTCGGGAAACACGCCGCAGACATTCGCTAATCGTAAGTGTCAGGAGGTCGTCGCAGCATTCAGAGACCAGGATCACCTATGGCGTTCTGGATGTTACAGTCCGTCGCGTCCATCCTTCCAGGATCTCGCCGGTGATCATGAATAATAATGCCGATAACGCGTCGACGTCGCCATGCGCGCGTTGTCCGTAATTAATCCAGTCTCGTCAGACGCCTGGAGTGGAAAACTCACTTTTTCTCCGCCGGATCTCCGTGTTTCCGTATCATCTAGACACCGAGGTGCCTTTACGCCCATTTTACGACATTGCCAAGCATGTCTGTGTCTCGCACAAACAATTTCCTGCGCGGCTAAATTCCATGATGCGTTTGCTCCGTTTTTCTACATATGTTGCTGTACAAACGTGACGAAGTAGCTAGATTAAAATCTAAAATAACATAATATCACATACGCATATGAAGAGCGTAAAGCAGATATTACACCCGTATAATCCGCACAATCAACTGATTAAATTATAACGTAATTTGTAAAAATTTAATAATTAAAAGCTTATAATTAGTAGAGATAAAATGAAAAATGGACGAGTATTACATCGTATTCTATATAAATATAAATATAAATAAAATATATAAAATTTATAACTTGGACTACGAATTGTATTTTTTTCCCCCTTTCTCTCGCTGATAGAAACGTTCGCGATAGAGAGAACGTAAATTTTCATGAGCGACGATTCCTTCGCGGAATCACGTAAATCGCCTTTGTGTAGGAGACTAGGAGATACGTACATCGTGAGCATAAACACGCCGTTCAGTGCACGACGCTGCAGGTGCCCTGTCATAGTCATGACTGATGACCGACATTACGATTTGTCAATAACAATTGTCCCGGGCATAACCGCCCCGCGCAAACTGCAACTGATAGCTAACATCGATTGTCCACGTCGACGTAACTGTCCCGCCACCCGGAGTGACCCATAACGTATCCGCACCAAAAATCTGCCGCGGACAGCCGGGCGCGAAAACGGATTCGCCCGGCAACGTTGTCGCGGCTGGTACGCGACGTCCACGCGAACACACGCGACCGATCATTTCGCAGCATTGCCAATTTTTGTGTATTTTTTTTCTCGGTTCTTTTTTCCTTTTTTTTTTTTTTGAACAATCGAGGGTCAATCCGCGCGTCAACTCGCCCGCCGTTCAACTGGAAACGAAAGCTATTATTCCGTTGGGAAATAACGGGGCTTTTTGTTCATCGCGAAGTGTCTCCCCGATAGACTGACGTTTAACATAATTAAAAATTGCTACAGCCACGCGGCGTTTTGTTATTCATTATTGGTGCACGGAGAATTTTAGATATTAATTTTTTTTTATAATATTACGAGATAACGTCATTGCGCATAATCCGTTGACGATGACGTAACAACTATATGCAAGCGGATGAACCATATGTAATGGTAGAAGTTACGTCGTGATCGCTTCCTCGAACGCACGCATCTCGAACGCACGCATCTCGAACGCGGAAAATCCCGTGAGATTTTTTCCTCAGCCACTCTCGACCGTCCCGCTCTCAACGAGTAGAAAGAAGTGGATGTAGGAAATTCAATTTGATCGCCGACACGATTTTCGATTGGCAGACAGCTCGAGAACACGTGTGTGTCTGCGACGAAGGAGAGAGAGTGAGAGAGAGAGAGAGAGAGAGAAAGAATATGAACGGAACCGAGTCTGTAACGAGTCGCATTGTGCGACTGAGGAGATCTTTCTCATCTACCTCTCTCTTGCCTTCGTTTTATTTTCCGTCGTGGATTTATCGTCCGTTCGTTCGCGGATACACAACCTCGCAAGGCGAGGCTGGACGGTTCAGTGTCCCTCCGAACGTTATTTTTCTTTCTTTGTTTGATTCGTATAGGCATTTCAAAGATATACGCGCGCTTGAATCTTTTATCTTTCTATCATCGGATCATTAAAATAATTTATAAAATATAAGACGTCGAAGATATAACATAATAGAAACTAATACGTATAGAACTACTAATATCTAAGAAAAACGATTTATCTATATATAAGATACGTTTCTAAAATTGAATAAAACAACATTCAATTTAGACACACGAAAAATTTGCTTAAAATGTCTAATATTAGTAATATAAATTGCTAATGACTACTATTACAGTATATCCAATGTCGAAAATATTTGTCCTAAAATATCCAACATTGCACTTATATCTCAAATTCGTCCTGAAATCCACTCGTTACTTGAATGCAATCGCAAGAAAAGACCTGCTGATTTGGTCGGCGAAGGAAAAAATATGTTTCAAGTAGAAGCTGTTGTGGTTTAAACGAGTGTGTTTCTTCTTCCCACCGGAGTCTGTCCCGATTCAAGCCGCGCGTGAGGCTTAAATGAACCTGCAAGAGCCGCGATTCGTATGTCGCGTCGGAGCGAAACGGACAGATAGCGTAGGAGAGCTGTATCTGGTGGAGGTTAACGTTCACCAGACGCTGAAGAGCCCCCCTCCTGAGTACCGGAGGCGTGCTCGAGGGCCTCTATTGAATTAACTCCATTCACCAAATTGCTCTCGCATTATGCTGGATCACGCCTGAGCTAACCTCCTGCACCTCTATAGCGCACAATCCCTCTCTGTCACAAACGGCATCGCCGAGGACCGAGCCGTCGTTGACGACTGAGATTCGCGTTCCGTTCTGCGGTAATACGCGTGCCCTTCTCTTTGTGACTCATCAAAGCCACAGCCGGTTATCCTCGTCGGAAGGCGCTCCGCGCCCTGCCTCACCCGACTTCGTCCCGCGCATCTTTTAAACGTCACTCTCAAGATTCGGTTCAGCCGCCGTTCGTTATCGGCAAGAAATATCGAAATATTGGAAAATTTAATTGTATCGAAGTATTGGATTTCCTGGAGGAGGACCGACTGATTGGTTAAGGGAAGTAACCGATGAGATCAGACAAAGCGCCTTTCATTTCTTTTGTTGACGAGGGCAGTCCGCGGCCGCTCGCGCTCGGGCGGACTCGACAATCGCAATAGTAATAGCATCTCGATTGTTAGTAAAATATTAATTGGTTATTTAAAACCCGTGGCGGGTGCAACGAGACCATCGTTGACATTTCAACCCCGGGGGGCAATCTACTTTCGCGAATGATCTCGTTGTTCTTTCTTCCACGGATGGCATCTTCGGGACGACGCTGTTGAAAGCGTTCCCCGCGAAATACTGCCGTGTTGGGCGAGAGAATCCTTCGAGGGTTTTCTCGACGAAGGTTGACGAGAAGTTAGTGTTATTACCGTCATTGAGGGTGTCCAGAAACGTCTCTTACGTACGATCCTTAATTTACCCGAAAGCCTCGTCCAACGATTCCCCACGAATTTAGAGCTTCTTGTCCAAAAACTTACGGTCACGTTTGGAGCGTCGCAAATCTTTCCTTCCTCTTCTTCTCTTTTTTTTTCTTTCGCCGGAACGATATCATAACGACGGAACGATGTTCTTGATAGTCCGCGCCGGTTATTGCGCGGATACGCGGATACAATGCCCCGCTCGACGCGGTCGCCATGTAATTTTGATATCGTCGACGGTTACGTAAATCTCAATGAAAACGCATTGAAACGTACGTATTTTACTAGACAGCAAACATATACGGCGACGTGCCTTATATTTATCTACCGGTTTCGTAAATAGCGCGCGTTTAAGGTTCGTAATGAAATCTAAATGGCGACCACGCCGGGGGCAATGGCAATTGCAACGGTAGCGGCGACCACTCGGCAGGTTAACGTTAGGAGGGCTCTTATCGAGCGCATGCCCTGTGTGAGTGCAGGTGACTAATCCATCCCTTTCTGCCCGCTCACTGGTGCAGGAACGTACGTCGCGAACTCAAAGATTAATCTTCCATACCGAATGGAGTCAAGGACGGATATAATTAATGAGTGCAATTAGACGGATAATATACCATAATGCGGCATTTGATCAGGAAAAAAAGCCGTAAGAACCTGTACCTATAAAACTACATCAAGTACTTGAAAGAAAATAAAATAGATTGCTCAGGTACGTCATAACGATGTAAATATTGTAAATCGCAATATATTTATGAGATGTTACGCGTGCTTGCGTGATAAAAATAATGAATATTTATACGTAATAAAAAAATACTTTCTATACGCTATTTATATGTTATATGTTGATAATAAAATAATATAAAATGTACGCTGAGTAAAATAAATTTCTCGCGCTGTTTGCGTTTCCTCCATTTCTCCTATCTTGTTATTTACGATTTTGTTACGTTTTAAATTTTGCGGTTCTATGCATTTCCTCTGGTTCTTACGCCAGTGCGGCTTTAGCACTCATTACACTCTGGCAACCGCTGCCTTAATTTCTCTTTGCCACGTACCCTTTCTCGCGGAAGCCGACCTTTCTGGCCGCTTGACCATTATTTACACCCACTCCTGTCCTTCCTCCCTCAAGCTCGATTGTATCCCTCGAGCAAATAAATGACCTCGTGATTTTTAATTGGACTTAACCGCAAAATTGGGAGCCTACGAATAATAAACGAACAAACTGAATAAATAAGACCATATAGCGAAAAGTTGGTAAAAATAATTTATTTTTATAATGAAAATCATCTAATATGTGCTATATATTTAAAGTTTATTGGTGAATATTAAAATGGTTAATATTTCCTAACTAATGATGATAAAATAAAATGTGTAATAAGAACAAAAGGAAATATTAAATAGAGATATCAAGCGTGCGCATATATAAGGGGGTATCATTCTGTTCGATATGAGTGTCTCTGCAGGACCATTAAATCTCCATGCAGACGCGTCCGGAACTATTCGTGTAAGAGCAGCACGTAAAACGGACTCGTAACTCGCATTTTTTACAACCTGCCAATGGAACTATTCAAAGCGCGTTCGGCGATGCTCCCCACGTGTCTGAATCATCGCAATAAAATCGAACGTGTCGGGGCGGCGCCGCGGCCTTTGCATGATGTGCGTCTGGATACTGTTTCGGCGCCGGGCACCTCCTACCTCTGTATCGAAAGGATTTCGCAACGGGTTATTCGATCGAACCAACTATAAACGCGGGGGTCAATGAGGAATGTTAAATGTACATCTCGCGCAATCACGTTACACACCGTGCAAGAAGTACGACCTAGTTTCTCTGTCGATCGAGAGGAGTATGCTTTGTGCACAGTTGTATACGTGCATATATTTACTACGTTAGTGAGAGAGAGAGAGAGAGAGAGAGAGGGAGAGAGCGAGAAACGGGAAACTCCATTCTATATACAAGTATCACGGAAACGCAACCGAAGTGTGTGTCCTGTACCTCGAGCGTTATCCCCACGGTATTCTACTACTTACGAACACGCTAATTACCCAAAGGAATTTGCTGGCGTTCGTTCCTTCCGCGTATCTAAAGACCTCCCTTTAAGCGTTATCAGCTTTCGTGAATTTAGTAGCCGTATTTCCGCAAGGCAGAAGCTCCATCACGGCGTTAACGCGATAATAAAAAAAGGAACGAACATTATCGCGGGCTGTGTAATTAAAACTGCAGGGATCTCTCACAACTGCGAATGGGAAAAATAAATCTTATTATGAAAATTGAGAGGAAATAAAAGCGTGCGCGCGGGAAAATTGATTACCAATTCACCTCATTCTTCATCGTAGATGTTATAGATCGTACGATTATGTTGTAAAGATAAGAAAAACGATCTCTGCATTACAAAATTTGTGATTAATCTTTCCTAAATGAAGATTCCGCGGGAGACTACATCATTTGTTATAGCTTTCTTACTAGCAATGTTAAATTTATCTCAGTAATTATCGAGATGGAATTAAATTTCTGGCAATTTCCTTTTCTTTTTATTTTATCATTATAATCTATTATAATCTATGAAGAAATATAAATTTTTCGAAATATTCTGTATAATGTAAATGATATTAATATGCTCTCTTGGGAATAGAAAAGTTAGTATTTTTTGACATGAAATACAACAGATGTTTTAACTTATCCGTTAAAAGCATCTATTTGTGCAGATTCTAAAGAGAATATGCTGATGCGCATATAAAATT